ACGTATCTCAAAGATCGATTCCGTTTTCTCGAACCATTGTGAGAGGGCAATGATTCTGCCAGTCCCATTGAAGGACTTGGGTTTGCAGTTGGTGAAGTCCTTATATGAGCACTCTCTAGAGCGCACTGGAGCATCACTTTGAGTGGAATGAACAGTTGTTCCACTCTCGCTAGTTACACTAGCGCTGAACTGAGCTAGGGCTGCCGTAACAGCCGCATTTACTGCAGCTTGGATAGCTGCTGGATTGTATTGTGGAGGAGGTGGAGGTGGTTGTTGATTCGGAGTTATCGGAGTAGTGCGTCTCGCAGATCGACAGGGAGGCATCTTGTAGCTATAAGTTTAAAAGAAATGAATATATTGATAAGCATTTGATAGTGAGAAATGAGAGTGAATCATGGACTAACTCTCCGTAGCCGAACAGAATAGATGAAAGTATGATTGAAGTAAAGATCTAGCAATAGAAGGATGAAAGCATTTGGATAAAGATTTCCCATGAGATTAAATATCTGTCAATAATACTGGTATTAAAGATGTAACACGTTCGGGAAAATGACCTAGGAGTAGTTCTTACATCAACCAGGATAAGAAAATTTTGACAGCATAAAGACCTAATAGACTGAAAGTTCAAGGTCTTAAGTTACACAGGAAATTATAGGGAAAAGTGCTACTTAGAGCATAGATAAGAAGGCTATTCCTTTAATCAAAAGAAAGGATGAGTAAAGCATCTCCTAATGGTGACGGGCACCCCTTGGGTGAACCCTTAAAACAGCCAGCTAACGCTCCATATCAAGAAGGCATCGCTCGCTGGCGTACGCGGTGCTCTATGACTTCAGCTCGATTCATAGCTAGTTCTTGCAGTAGAGACTCATTGTCTCTTATAGCTCTCTCACGAGCATCTTCCAGATGACGAATGCAGACAATATTGACTCCCACTTTGGCATCAACCTGCATGACTCGGTTGATAGATGTCCTACCCTGCTCTTCATTACGAGCGACCCTGCGGACCAGAATAGGCAGGATTCTGTCCACTGAGCCTCCCTCGCTCAGGTTGTAGAAGATTAGGTCTCCATTGTATTGCATGGGTTGACCCTGTTCTTGACTCCAAGTTCCCAAGTTTTCCGCCCACAGAGGCGTCGGGCCTTGAAAAGCCGGATGAGGGTTAGGATTTGGGATTTGAGCTACCAGGGGTAGATCATTGACTTCTGGCTCGGAGTCAGAATCTTCCGGGAAGTTCTCTGCGAATTCATCATCCAATGGAATTGCAGGTTCCTCTTCTAGCTCATCATCGAGCCATCCACCGTTACCTTGGTTGGGGAAGTACGGGTCGCTGTGGGGTTGGAATCTAGCCATGTTATCTACGCGAGAATGGGGGTAAAAGAAATAATTAATAGGCGTACTAATTAAGATAATTATAAGATGATCCTTACCAGTTACTCCAACATTTGCGTAGTGTATACCAGTCATATGTAACCAAAACAGGATAGACCTTCGAATAAGTGATCCTAACTCTAAGTCCACAACCAAACAAGGAACAGGAAGTAAAGCAAAGATCACAGATTCTAAGTCTATGATACCTTAGTCACATATAACCTTAGAATATCCATTCCGCAACTATTGACATACTAATAAAGATCTTTTTAGCTTGCACATAAGTAATTATAGTACACAAAATACTCCTATAGTATTTTAAGTTTATGTTATGTTCTAATGTTTTCATTGTAGTAGTGTTGGTAAGTTTTTAGACTTGCTGCAACACCACAACCATTTCTAGGCACATGGTAATCACTTCTCGGAAAGATATATGTCCCATATCAGGCTATTTCGATCCCAGATCTGATTATATGTCCCCAAGCCTACTCGTGTTGTCCAACAATCGCAATACTTTTCTTCTGTCCTAGTGACACTGATTTTAGTATAAATGCAGGTGTGTATACTTTGGTTAAATATTTTATAATTTAAAATTATAAACTCTTGGTCAGAGTATTTTAATCCCGATGTGTTTATAGTTGTATATCTTTTATGGGTTGATATACTCAATTCACTATAAACAAAGCTCTGATACCAATCTGTCACGCCCCCAAACCAGAACGGCGGAAAACGTTCAGGGGCGGAGGACGCCATGTACAGTATCACAACAATGCATAATAGTAAAACAAGCAACAACATCATCCATTGCATTAATAATATAATTTTAATACAAGTGTGTTCTGTAGTTTATAAGACACCAAAATATGAATCAAAATAAAAGACGAGTCTTGAACGTGCTCCGTCTTCTCTAAACCTGGTCATCGGTACCTGTCTACTGATGACCTGAGAATACAAGTTATTTTGAAAGCGTAGATCAACATTAAAGTTGGTGAGTTCATATGTATTTAATGTCATTGTTTGTATTAGTTTAAATAAAATGTTTGTAAATGTTTGATGTAAAGGTTTGTAAGTGTTGTTTGTAAATGTTTGAATACTTCCTAGAAAATCCTATATTTTCTACTAAAGTAGTCTTCTACCAAGACTCGACTGTTTTGTAAGTTTGTTCTTTTGTAAAAGTGATTGTTTTCCCAAAGTATGACTATCATTGCCAAAATATTGTTTTCATTACCGTTTATGTGAGAAGATCACAATATGAATGAAAAGGGAAAATAAAGTTGTACCGTAGTTTTATCTAAGTAACTACTAATGTACTAACTACCTTAAACCTGTTTGTTTAATTAAGGTAAAATCTGATAAGATTATAACCATACTTGATTGACTAGTAACACACGACGTTCGAGACACCAAAATGGTATGACATTCGTCACCCGTAGAGCTATAGGTCCCACTGTAGCTAGCAGCAAGGTGTAGGATGGTCAATCTCGTATAGATCTATACACAAATTCACGCTCTCCCTCCAGGAGATTCTGGTAAAAAACATGACACAGCAGTATATTGTCGTGCCATGAAGTAGTGGCTCACATAATTATTATCTTGTTATTTTATTAGTGTAGTATGTTCTCTCTATCTCTAGTATATAGTATGTTGTCTGTATTCTAGTATGTAGTATGTTCTCTCGGTTTCTCATTATAGTATATTTGAACTGACTCATGTATGAACTGAATCTTGTATGTTTCATTGTTCTAGAAATAGTAAGTAGTGACTTCCTAAACTATACCAATTATAGTTTACTAGTAAAGTTGTTTGAATGACTGATTATGTTTGAACACCTTTGCTACCCAAAGGTATTGAACTTGAAGAAAGAACTTTTATATCTATATACATATACATAATTTATAACTAAGATTCAAACGACATTCGGACAAACAACCGAATACCCTAAGTCCACAACCAAACAAGGAACAGGAAATAAGGCGAGTGATCAGTCCTAAGCCCTTTCAACCTTATTTATGTAACTATATCCATATAGAAATCATTTTCACAATATATAAGTTTAAAAGAGTTTAAATGAAGAATTTAACATATAAAAGAGTTTATTAAACGATTTGAAGCAGTTTGTTTGATAACACAATTTTGAAATATAAGAAAATCCACTGGTTTGTTAGTTATTAATCCCATGTGATTGATATAATAACTATAATGTTTCTACTTGTATTCCCCCCATAAAAGCATTTAAAATCATTTAAAAGATAAGTTAAGGGGTATGAACTCACCTGAAGTGAGTGATACGAATGTAAGTTCGATATAGGATGCTAAGTGTCAAGTGAAGCCTCGAGCACAAACGGATCCTATTAAGCATATATGATACATATATGGATATAATTAGTGTTTATACAACTAATCATGTAAGGAAAACACCTTAGGAACTAGCAAACACTTAGATTGATGTGTTACAAGTACATAGGATTGCATAAAAGGGATTTATGGCCACACTAGTGTGTGTACGCCCACATGTGTGTAGGGCTATGGAGTGTATGGCCGTACACTCCTTGAAGAACATGCCAAAAAGGTGGTCTAAGGCTCTATCTAGCATCCTCTAAGTGTCCATGATCTTATGTTGGAATATAACATGAGTTTGAGGCGAAACATGTACTAAACAAGGGGTGTACGACCATATGAAGGGTGTACAGTCGTACAATACTGGTGTTCATGCATTAGATGTCGATTTAAGGCTAAGAATCATGTGTTTCACTAGCTTTCAATAGTAAATAGAAGACGTACTCACACTTTTGAAGGTTCCTATGGAGTTCACGGCCCAAGAACTAGTAGGTGTTCTTGGTGTTCTTGGTGAAAGTGTTGAATACTTGAAGATCTAACCAAAAGAGGAAATTTCACGAATGAAATCAAAGGGTGACATTAGATCAAGCTATGTATCAAGTAATCCACAGAAGAAATACTTACATTCTTGAAGATCAGGGTGAAAAAGTCGATGATAGTTGAGAGAGAATCCGATTTCTTGAGTGATAAGTGTGAGAAATGAATAGAAATGAAGGTATAACTCATATATGGGCATGAGTTCATGGCCATAATGGGTGTACGGCCATACACCCATGTGTACACCATGTGTACGGCCGTACACTCCTCTTGAAGGAGTGTTTGGCTTGAATGAAACTTGATGAACTTAAGTAACTCATTTCTAAACCCTAACTTTGAATGTACTAATCTTAGAACACTCAAACAGACTCTGAACAATGCTAAAAGATAGCAGAAACGAGTCTGAATTTGATTGAATTGAATAGTTGTACATGATAGAAATTTCGGATTGTCACAACAACTTACAATGGAAGAAGAAGGACGTATTTTTGATGTACCCATGGTTTCTTCAATTGATCTTTGTTGATCAATATCCTAATTTGGAAAGATCAGGAGAAACTTTGGATATGAAATCTTTGGGTCCAAACACCTTTGGATTGATGAAGCAAAATCGTTAAGGTTCTAAGGTTCTGTTCTGAGGAACAAGTCCCATGGAGAAGTTTGGAAGATTTGCATAAATTGAAGAGGCTCATGTTCCTCAAGATATTCCTGTCCAAGAGCCTGAAGTTGTTGCTGATGTAACTCCTCCTGTTGCAATCATGGCAGAGGAGCATATTCCTATTCATGGTGTTGATAATGATGATGATGATGATAATGATGATGATGATGATGTTGTAGGAGAAGGGATTGATGAAGGGGGTGATTCAAGGGGTTTTAATGATGAAGATCTCTCGTTTGATTTTGAAGTGAATGATGATGACTTCCGTTCGTTTGTTGATGATGATGAAGTCAATGACGTTGTGAGTTCTCCAACTGGGACTGAGGGAGATACTAACATTCTTAAGCTGCCAATTCAAACGCCCTCTCAGATGGCGGAAATTATAGCTCAATTGGAGTCAACTGCAAGGATTCCTCCTCGAGCAGTTGTCACTCCAAACATTACTCCATTTTAATGTGATTCTAAAGAGTCTCAAGCCTCCCAACCGCCTCTGAAACAAAGACGTGCTGATCTAAGGCAGGGAGTGCTCATCAGGGAACAAGCTCAATTTGCTCAACAGCCAACTCCAACCAATGAACCAATCCAATCAGCTCGTGTCGAAAGCCAAATTTTGCAAGAAGGGCCTAGTTCAGTTCATACAAATTTTGAAGCAGGAAACTCTTCAGCTCCCGGTGGTTTTACAGCCCCTCAACCTAAGCATGATGTCGCCTCGGAAAGACTTGCCAGGTTTCTAGCCCAAGAAAGTGTTGCCCCCGCACCCAAGGGGAAAGGTATATCAATTAGTGCAGGGAGATCCGACAATGAAGATCCAATAATTTTTGAGCTCAAAGAAGAAATCGGGATCTTAAATCAGAAACTTATTGAGAAATATGTCCTGATTGGAACTCTTGATGTTAGAGTTTCCGAGCTTGAGAGAGAAAATGCTCAAAAGTTGAGGCAAATTTCTGATTTGCAGCTAAATCTTGGCGCTCTCTCTTGAGAGAGAAAATGCTCAAATGTCGAGACAAATTTCTGATTTGCAGCTAAATCTTGGCGCTATCTCTGCTGGATACTTTGATTTGAAGAACAAGTTGATCAGCGAATTTGGCGACAAATTCAAAACATCTATCAGTGCGCCTAATGAAGCTAATGCATCCTCAAGTGTACCCGTCCCTGCATCTCAAGATATTCCTCGTCAGGCCAGTGTACCTCGTATTGTTGACGAATTTGACAATGAACCTGCTCACGCTAATTCTAGAGTAATCTTGAAGCGAGCTCAGAGGCAAGCCAAAACTCAAGGAAAGGGTCAATTACTCTTCATGAAAAATTATGATCAAAACATTTGTTGAGATCGGCCTCAAGGTGTGGGGATTTCACGACAAGAAGAATATATGGGTGATCAAAAGAAAAAGTGGCAATGTGGAGTACTATGAACATTAGAATGACTTTATTTCTTGGACTAAAGTAGATCTTACAGAATTAGCTGAGGCTCCCTTCCACAACCCATCGAACGAACCTCGTGGAACTGAATTCAAGATCTTCCTGGAGAACCAAGTAAAGAGAAAGTTCGATGGGATGAAGACTGCGGATTCTTTCGTGAAGAAAGCCAAAGGTGTATTTGATCCCAACACCAACCAAATCGTGAAAAATGTGATGTGGCCTCCCACCAAGCAGATGAAGCAAATTCCTATTATTCAGCAGTCACCTGACGGTTCTCTGCATAATATGGAATATTGGGTTTTCGATGAGGCCACAACCACTGCCGTCATCAAGCTGCCGACTGGTGATATTCGTCTTCTTGAAGCGAAGGATCTCTTACAGTTCGGTGAGCATGATATTCGTACTCTGGCAGAGAATCAGATCGTGGTCAATGATGATATTTTGGAGGTTGCTTCTAAAGAGTTAAGTGGCATGGTTGCTGAAATCATAAACAAGAGAATGTGGGCAGGTGCTATGCGAAGCTCCGATTTGCTGATCGTCGACAAGCCTTGAAATCAAGCTAGCATCAAACCAAGGGGGAGATTGTTAGGACCTAATTTGCTGGTTTGTGCTAGGTTTATACATTAAAGGCTTTGTTATTGCTTTTGTTTGCTCTTAGTTTATGTTTTTAGTTGGGTGGACCGAAATCAACCTTGATTTCGGTCCGTAGGTGTTTTCGGTCTTTGGTTGATCTGTTCATTTGTGTTCCCTATAAATAGTAGTCTTAGATGACCGGTCTCAGGTTAGCAGTTTTCGATCATAAGCTTTATGTAGGATCCTTTGTACAAGACGATTTTGTGAAATACAATAGTGTGCATTTGGATTGATCTTGCTTCTTCTTCTTCTTGATTTATCATTTTTGCTATTTGATTTCGATTGATCACTAGATGATTCATTATTTGGGACTTACATTTTCTTATAAATTAAATGAAACTAAAAACAAAAATTTTATCTGTATTTTTGGGATGTTACAAAACATCATAGGAGTCGCATCCAAAAAACCGCGAGTGATCTCGGACGAAACAAATTCGCAAATCCTTTCATCAATCGGCTCAGCACCAGAGCCTAAACTTGAACCAGAACCAGATCCTCCTCCACGAGTACTCATCACCATATTGAAAAGTAACCATACAAATGCTCAGAACATACCCAAAAAATCATCATTCTCTAGGCTTGTTAAAATTCTCGCGACTTTTCTTCATTCAAGTATGGATACTGTGCTTTCAGGAGTACGGGCCCAATACTACCTTCCACACTTATCCATACTTTCCTCAAGAGTCATCATGAATCCTCTAAGTCATCTTCTCATACTTATACTTCCCATACCCACTGAGTAGAACACCACTCGCACTAGAGGACTTCCTAAGCTCTCCTAGGATTCCCCACCTCACCCTGCCATCAGCTGCTGAAAAACTCCTACTGATGTCAACTAGCTACTTCATGAATACAATTACATGCAATAAAACTTAAATAATACTTCGACTAAGAGACTCAACCCTACAATGGTTGGACTTAGACAGGAGCTACGCCACAGGCCAAATCAATCACTCTAAGATTATGTAACCTTCGCAGCATGTAACTTACATATTCATTTAAGAGTTAACTCACATCAATATGATTCCTACAAAGCACAAAGCTAGCAACATTTGATTAGTAGAATTTTGCAGGCTACAAAACATCAAAATTCATCCTTCCTAATAGTCATCTCCCTTAATAGGCATTCTAGCATGCAACCCTAAACATATCCTTATGCTAACTTCTAGCATGCAAAACATATAACATAACAACATGTATGAGTATTCTGGCAATCAATTAATTGATCTCAGATGAACGCACACATCGTACCCCTTTCATTCTAAAAGTCTTTTTACAAAATTTTATTTTCTTTCAAAAAGATTACCAATTCCTCAATTTGAGTTCAGACATACCCGAGAATGTACTCGAATCCCTCAGCAAGCACCATGACATGAACCCTTATTGGTCACATTGTAAGCACAACATGACAATATATTCGCGAATTTCAATCGTTCATAAAAATGACAACTTTATGGACATGCATGTCCTCTACCCCCACCTAGGTTAAAAGCCAAGAAAATGATCCAAAACTCAAGAAAAGCTCACAATTCACAACTAAATTCTAGATCTGAACCATATAACACTAAAATGGATTCAAGGATCTATAAAGTTTCCAAATCTATGGAATCCCATCACTTCAACTTTCTCAAACTTGATGATAAAGGCACAATAACTTAGATCTAGCAACCTAGAAGCATAAAGTTTGAATCTTAGACACTTACTAAGATCCAAAATGTGCACAAGAGGATAATGATGAGGTTTGCTTGTTGGATCAACACTCTAGAACACCTTCTTCTTATTCTTCTTCTTCTTCAAGCTATCAAAAGCACCAAAATAACCCAAGAGCCACCAAGAGTGATTAGGGTTACGGTATTCTGACGTTTGAGGGTGATGGAGGCTGATATTGAAACACAAAATCGAGTTAATGGGGTTTAAAGACGAAGGAAACCTTAAAATATCACGGGCTTGGGTTGCATCGTTCCTCACGTCATGACCACATACGTGTCACGTCGTGACCACAGTCCAACTACGTGCTCCTCATTTTGGCTTGTCACGTCGTGACCACCCTATGGTCACGTCATGACACTCGGTTTTCCTTCTAAAATAAGCTTTTGACTCGTTAATTCTCTAAAACGATCCATTCTAGAAAACGGGTGTTACATAGCTCCAGGACCATGTTCACCAATTATAGACATGCTGCCTCATTTGATCATTTAGACATTTTTCATATTCGTTTATTGTATTCCTACATGCATTAGCTGGATGAGACTCATGAAGACCTTCATTAGGGCACGTTCTTTCTTTTCATATCTAAGACTTATTTTTACCGAATAAATCTAGTGAACATAGTTTGGGTATGTCACCTTATCTCTTTAGAGAATTTGTAGCAATGAAAAATTTGTAGATGATTTTCAGTTTAGTGACATTTATAAAAATAAATTTTAGTTTGTTTTGTTAAATAACCCTTAAAAAATAATTACCCAATTCAAAAATATTTTAACTAAGATAGGACCCATATTTCACTTCTAGTTGTAAAAAGTGTAACTTATCAAATTTTCAACAATTTTTAAAAACATTTAAATAACCAAAAGCCATCATGTTAATTAGAAACATAACTTATTATTATTATTATTATTATTATTATTGTTGTTATTGTTATTGTTATTGTTATTGTTATCATCATCATCATCATCATCATTATCATCATCATCATCATCATCATAATTATCATGTAACACCCAGTTTCCGGATGTTTCTTATTTATGGATTCCGGGTTGTAATTCTATCATGCACAGTTCTTGGGCTTCAAGGGAATAAAATTTTTGACCTTTTTTGTCACACCCCCAGCCGGCAGCGGAAACACTGGTTGTGCGACGTTTTGGGATGTTGGATCTGAACAAAAGTATATTGAACGGTACATGGAAATATAACACAAATACTTCTTTTATTCATTATTGAAAAGGGCTATGTTGATCAATCTACAATACACCCTAAACATAAACTAGACAACATGAAAACAAAATAAAAACTTTCATCGGCCAGGTGACGACTTCCTTAGACTCTACTTCCACTTCTATTAATTTCCTGAGAATACATGGTTTTTGAAAACGTAAACATTATGTTGGTTCACAGGTTTTTATGGTTTTATAATAGTCTTATAACTCTTTAAAAAGGGTTTCTATTCTTTGTATTTTATTTTCCCTAGGATAAACTACTCGTTTAGTATTTATCTCGTAGCTTTTTATATTTCCTTTTTTCTTATATTTGCATATTTTAATTATTCCCTATGCATTTTTCTCTACGTAGTTTTATATCAAAAGTTTGATGGGTAATGTTACAATGAGTCTCTATAACCAAGCTATATAACTTGAAATTTCTCTGTCACGACGCTTCATCGTACGTCGAGAAAAATACTATAAA